TTTATACATGAGATCAAAGCTAAGGACATTAATAACTACAATTTAACATTTTATCACAAACTCTTTTTTGTTGCTGTTGTTGACTGTTAATTTTTTTTTTTTTTTTGCTTGCTTGTGAGGTTTTTTGGCAACTGTTTGGTCGTAACACACAAAACAGCAGTTGAACCACCAAAAGAAAAAGAAAAAAAATATCCAAACAAAAGAGACCGTTAAGAAAAACATTTCTTCCCCCCCAGCCTGATCCACCAACAGTGCAAGCCAGGAGAGGGGCTGGGCATGCATGGCTCTGTCTAACCGGGCGTCCGGCTGTCCCAAAGCCACACAGCATGCCTATCCCTTCACTAAGCCTCTGGGTTCAAGTGAAAAGATAGACAGCGAGCAGCCTGGCTCCACTGGCCCTGCGACTCCACATGCCCAGCGCACATGGGCCTCCCTCCTTCCCAAGCTGCGAACCACCCTGGATCCAGGTGTGTGAAGCCGGCCTGGGCAAAGGCGACGCCCGCCTGCGCCCGCTCTCCAAGCCGATCTGCTCTCCAGGCCGATCTGTCACACCGCCTCACAGCGCCTGCCGCTCAGCCCTCCCCCCCCCTCCCGTCCCAATTCAGGTCTGGGCCCAGGGAGGCTCGCCATGCCGCACTGTCACACTGTCACACAACTGTCACACCGCCTCACAGTGCCTCACGGGGGAGGGTAGGGAAGGGGGGAGAGAACTGAGAACCACAGCTTCATTGGAAAGATCTGAGGAACAAAAACCCAGCTTAAAAAAAAATCTTGCAGCCCTTATTTTGTGGCATTTTATCTGAAAGCTGGCAATGGAAACCTCTTTCCTCAAAGAAACCATTCTTACTGGTGGAAGGCCTAGTGCCAAAGGGGCTTTGTGACTTATGCATTCAATGCACAGTTTAGAAAATCAGACTCTCCATTATTACTGCCTCTTGACACACAGTTATGTGTGACTCATCCACACGATGACTTTCAATCGATGACACCAAGACCATCTCCTCCTTAGCCTGATCCATAGCACACTGGAACTGAGTGCGGAAGGGAAGCATAATCATTTGGCAAATGCAATCATTTGGCAAGTGCAATCATCACTAAACCTCTCAGACAATGATGAGTTCACCCAGCTGGAAATGCCTGCTGTATCATTAACAACCTGTCATTTCCAATTGGTCAGAGAAAT